ATGTAGGAAAGGATGAATTCTAATTGTTATTTTCAGGTAACATGATAGATAGCCTACATAGAGGACAGACAGAATTGCACCATTAAAAATTGTAGAATTGGGCTGGTGAGATGGCTCAGTGGTCTAAAGCACCTACTTAGAAAAAGCTTCGCAAAGCACAGGGACCACGGTTCAATCCCCCAGCACCATATGCCAGCAAGCCCTGCCCCCTGGTGGGCTGAGCTGGCCACATACACACGCACACACATAAATAAAAATTTTTTTAAAAAATTGTAGAATTAAGTATCAGTAGAATAAGTGCTTTCCTGGTAAGCACAACGGCCTGAGTTCAATCCCTGGTTCCGCAAAAAAAAAAAAAAAAAGAAGAAGAATCCTTTCATCAATCCATTAAAGAGAAAACATAAGAAATTGGAAAAACAAACACCTCGCCAGGTCTTCTTTACATGGAGACTGTTCTACAGAGTATAAAAGGATTCAAACAAATTACATCATATAAAGTAAAAGATCCAAGCATAAAATTTGCAAATGAGATGAACAGTACTGATCAAAACATTTACAAATATCCAAAAACATGAAAAAACCTTGGATATCACTGGCCGTGAGAGAAGTACAGGTGAAACCCATGAAGTTTCCTGCACTCGCACAAGGCAACCTAGAACAAGTACAAAATAACAACCAGGCACCCTGAACAACTGATTTGGACACAATAATATGCAATACAGCAACTATTGTTGAATTGCTACTATTTTGTTAAGTAAAATTTTTGTATTGTTTGTAAAATATATGTATGCTTTTTTTAATTTTGTGTGGGATTTTTTAAAAAAACAATAACAACTGATAGTGGGTCTGGGATGAAAAAAGCACCCTGCTAAATCGTGAGTGGAATGAAAACTTCCACAGCTGATCTTCAAAGCAGCGTGGATATTTCCCATCGAAGTGAATGTAGAAATTTCATACGACCCGTTTTTACAATTCTTAATATTTTTCCAAAAGTGCCATCTACATTGTATCAGAGTCATACTTACATCCAAATAGTTATAGCACCACAATTCATAAGAGCTAAATCCATGAACCACCTTATGTCCCACAACAGTTGCAAGTATTCAGAAATGTGGTGTCAGAAAGTAACATAAGGCTTCTCTCCAAAGACTGATGAATTTGTAACAAAATAGAAGCACCTGAGAAATATGTGGATGAAATTGAATCAGACACTGAGCTTGCACAGTGCATGCTGTCCTTCATTTAGGTACGGCAAACTAAGAAAAAAATAGAATTAAAATATACAGAAGAAATTAATTAGCATAGATGTCTCACATAGGTAAGACAGGCCGGACACTGAGAGGATGATCAAGGTAAATGAAGATTTACGATATGTAATGTACTGGCTCTAGACTCCTATAATAGTTCACATCATGCCAACATCTGATGGTTTATTGAAATGAGCAGTTTTTTATTTTTACTATTTTTTCTTTGTGATTTGTTTTAATTTCTCTGTGTTTTTTCTAAATGAATTTTGCACCTTCATATTAGGTAACCTAAACAACTAATTTGAAGATAACATCAAGCAATACAGCAACAATTATTAAATTCCTGTTACTTTGCTTAGTGAAATTTTATATCCTTTCTGATGCTGCTTTTCTATTACTACTTTTTATTCTTCAAAAAACAACAAAAATGTGAGCAATGATAACATGAGCTATAAACAAAACAAAATGGGTGAAAAGATTTAAAGATGGGTGAGTGAATTGAAAAAAATGGATATTTTTTAAATATTATATTTCATACACTTGTCCACTACAAAGGTGAATATCAATTTCCTATACAAGAAATATATACCACAAAAATAAAGGAACATTTAAAAAATTTTAACATAAAACTTTCTTTGGTTGAAGGGCCAGCCAGACAGCTCCGCGGGCTAAAGCGCCTGCTTAGGCAGACGCA